ACGTACGGCTTGAAAGATGTGGATAGCCTCCATTTTGTTGATGTATGCCATTTTAAGTATTAAGTTGGTTTTTGCAGATATATTAGAAGTTTAATTAAACTGTTTCAGCTTCCTCAAGGATGTATAAACAAAGAAAAGATGCCCCTGAGAGTCTGTGGTCCGCCGATTCTCAGAAAGCTAGCTGAAAATGGATATACAAGGAAAAGTATATGTCACATGTGTCATGTAGTTAGCTCATGATGGAAACTTACAAGTTGCAGTTTTGAAACTCGCTCCCCCCCCCCCCTTGTTTTGTTGTCCTGTACCCTATATAATCTAAGTAGTGTCTAATAAACTTTGAACATCTTTGAACATAAGCTGCCTGCCGTTATTTCGTGTTCATAGGGTGTTCCCAGAATTCTGCTGATAACCAGGAACCTCTCCACAGATCGGGGGTCTCTGAGGGGATGAAGAAAATCGATCCTTTTAGCTGGGGGCTCGTCGTCCGGGATGACCACCCACCTCACTTGGTAAGTAAACCTTTTGTCTTTTTATGACTAAAAGCTCTTTCTTGCCCTGTGTTGAGGGAAGGTCTTGAACCAATTTTTATTGGCTATATAGACCCGTGATAACCTGTGGCTGCTTTTAGGAAGCAGACATAACTCTTTGGTAGAGTTACAAAAAAGTGCACTAAACAAAACTATTGTTCTTTGGTAGAACACAAATTGTTCTTTGGTAGAGCATAAATTGTTCTTCGGTAGAACATAAAAAAATCTGTTCTTAGGGAGAACAGTGAAGAGATAACTTTTGGGAAGTTATCAAAAGGTTAATAAGTCTGTAGAGCAGATTCTGGTTTATCTATGTTTTGCTTTTCTTTCTGTCGCATAGAAGTATAAGATAATTTGTGGAACAAAATAAGATTATAAGGTAAGATAATCTTATCCACTGTATCAATATGGGTCAAGGAGGTAGTTACCCACCAGGTCCCCCGGAAAAAAGGGAGAAAATTGTAAGGATTATGTGGCCAGAGTATGTGGGACAGACTATTATTTAATAAATCCCTGGGTGGATTGTATGGCAGGCTGGACAGAAGCCATGGGAAGTACAGACCCATTCCCGAGAAAGGGGGCAATGATCCTTTCCATACGGACATGGTAAAAGGACTATGTCTGGGAGATAGACAAGCCTTCCCCTGGTATGAGGGGAACCCGCAATGAGAATAAATGGGATACTAACAAAAACCCTCAAGACTCCCCCCTTGTCTGTTTCAGCCCTCACATGGGATGAGGCCATCACTTGTCACAGTTTCAGAATCATTCCAAATTGCCCTGTAAATTTGTTTGGGAGAGACTTAGGGATTTCACTAAGATTAACACCTGAAAAGAAGGAAGGGATTGCTCCTCTAGTAGAAAGATTTTTAGAAACTCCACGAGCAGGGCCCTCCTATTCCTTCTGTACTGAAATGTATTGTAATTGTACTGTCTCCTGTTATATTGTAAAGCGCTGCGCAAACTGTTGGCGCTATATAAATCCTGTATAATAATAATAGAAACAGGTATTTTAGAAGAGACTGCTTCTCCTTAAAACACTGTGAAGCAAAAACAAAAAAAGAAGCGCACCAACCTTGCGCATTACCTCAGTAAACCAAATTTTTATTGAATATAGAAAAATACTCACAAACAATGAAGTATTTCAAGCATGTCAGTTCTCAAAGGAACTATGGAATGGTGAGACCTGCGCGAGCCCCATCATAGGGGTGGACACTCAGGAAACAGCTGACGCGTTTCAAAGGATGTTCCTTCTTCATCAGAGCTTAACTGAACAATGAGTGCTTTCTTCCATATATACTCTCAATAATTAGAATCGGACCCTCCCTACTGGGATGGGCCATCTTAGGAAGGGAGGAGGGGCCAAGGTGTCAACAGAATAACTATACCATCCAAGCTGATAGTACAGCTATAATGGTGAGAGTATGCTACATTTCCAAACATGATAAGACTACAATTAGAAAACCAATTAGAAATTTCCATTAAAAAAAAAAAAAAAAAAAAAAAATATATATATATATATATATATATATATCTCTCAACAATGAACAATAAATACAATTAAAAATACAAATTAAAATTAAAAAAATCATGATACTGTTGTAGTATGATGTTGTTTATATACAAACATGCCCAGATGTAATTGCTGTGGTTATCAATGGTATAAATATGTGTGTATAGATCCGTATAAAAAGTTAATGTTAAATGTGTATATAAAATACTAGTAGCAATGGTTGAAATAAATGCAATAAAATCTCTAAGAGCAAAGTACATATACTGTGATGTAAAAACAATTCATTAATACAATAATTGATTAGTAAAAAATTCCTTAATAAAAAAATTCCTTATTAAAAACGAAAAAAGTGTGTATAATAATATATAATACACTATAATAATAGGGGTATTTGCATGGATAGAACTATGGTCTGATCACGTGTAGCAAGAGCTTATAGATTTACAGACTGACAGGGTGTAAGGGATCAAATCTTAATTCCACAGTGTTTGTAGAGAGCGATAAGGATAAGTAATATATTAAAGTTGGTAATGAAAGGACAGAATCTATCAGGCTTAGACTCGGTTTTAGAGAGAAGAAGCTCATTTCGATCCAATTTACGGACTTCTTCCATTTCTCTATCTAGAGTTACACCACTGTAGTCTTTTTCTAAAATTCTACAGTATTTCTCAATATATTGGCCTGTAAGATAAAGTCCTCCATTTTGTCACAGTTCCTGCGAATATGCAAGAATTGACCTTTCGGTATATTGCTAAGCCATTTGGGATGATGGCAACTATCCAAGGGAATAAAAAATTTTTGGATCGAAATGAGCTTCTTCTCTCTAAAACCGAGTCTAAGCCTGATAGATTCTGTCCTTTCATTACCAACCTTAATATACAATATGGCAAAAATCATCAGAAAACATTGGCCCATCTTGAAAAATGATCCAGTACTAGGTAGAGCTATTCCTGACCGGCTGGAAATTACCTACCGTTAGGCACCATCACTAAGATTGACATTAGCCCCCAATGTGGTAAACCCACCTAGACCTCTGTCCTTTAATTTCAGACATACAGGTTTCTTTCGTTATAGGTACTTTTACTACATTACACTGTAGATTTGTCCTCTGTTTTTCCATGCAATAGGTGTATGTTATGTGTGAATAACGGTGTCCATATGAAACCAGTTAAATCCTTTTGTTCAAACATGACTAACAAAAGTTATGGCATACAGTCAGACATATTTTAATCAACAATAGGTTTTTTATAACTGGGACTTGTAGTTCTGTGATGGATTTGGTAAAATGCCTATTCACTTTCCTGTTTGAAAAAATATACATTTTCTATATATTTTCTATATATATTTACTTTTATACTTTTTCATATTTCTAAATATATGTGTTGTGCGTATATATATATTTTTGCTAAAACCACAGCACTATGACGATAGAATTCAGAACAAAGGAGGGCAGGGACAGCCCTGCCCTTCATCTAACACCCACTTTATTCCCACCACCCCAGCCCAAACACAACCCACCAGCAGCCATCTTGCTGCACCTGTATTGTCACTTCCTGCCCTGCCCAGTACACTTCCTAGTAGCAGCCATCTTGCTGCACCTGTATTGTCACTTCCTGTCCAGCCCAGTGCACTTTCGCCTGGCGGCCATCTTGGTACACCCGGAAGGTTCAACCAAGGCATATACCCAGTTCTCCCTGTTCTAAACCAGGATGGTTCCTACCACACTCCCGTTTTCCCCAATATGGAAGTGTCACCTTCACAAGTCGGATACATGAATGACAATGCATTCGAGTCGGATGATCAACAACCGCAAGCAGCAAGGACGCCGATAGGCATGACTCCCAAACCCATGCCAGACGTCCAATTGAATGACGATGCATCTGAATGGAGTGATCGACAACTGCAAGCGACAAGGGCGCCAATAGATTTGACTCCCAAACCCACGCACAGTGGAGTACAACCTAAACAGGAACAGTACATAAGACAGCCCCGACATTCAAAATTACCGGAAGGGGCACCGGTAATGTATGTCGCTTTTACCCCATCACAAGCAGCGGCCTTAGTGACTAGTCTGCCTGTCCCAGAGAAACAGCCAATGCCCTTTTACCGCAGGGTAGTGCAGATACAAGAAACTTACTCAGCTGCTTGGAAAGACCTGCTCAGTCTATGCCAAATTAAAGCAGGACATGTTTTCTGGCCGGTCATGCAGACGGCCTTCAATGATGCCTGCCTGACAAGTGCCACTTCCTATTCTTCAGGCGTGGAGTTCTGTGCCCAGCTCCACGACTGGACAAAGGAGAAATTGGCGGATCAGACCACCACGATCCAAGACATCACCCAAAATAAAGGGGAGTCTGTGGGAGAAGTATTATGCCAGACTCATACAGGCCTTTGATGATCTGGGCTTCTCGCAATATGAAAAGGCACACACACATATGCTTTCAACTGCTTTTGTCTCAGGGCTCAAAGAGGATATCAGAAAAGGTCTGATGGTGGCCTGCCCTGAGTACCGCTCTATGAAGATGTCCGATTTACTGTTTGTGGCCAGTGGCATAGAAAACCAAAAAGGGAAAAAATCAACGCCCCTCATGGTGGTCAATGACGAAGATCCCACCTACACTCGTCCACCACCACTGCCCAATATCAGGGAAAGGATCACCTGTTATAACTGTGGGAAACGGGGACACTTTAGAAGAGAATGCAGAGCCCCAAGACATCCCAGATAAGACAGGGACCCCCGGGAAGGGCAGCGCGAACATCAACCACCACGCCCCAACTCTCGCTAGGAAATGGGCAAACCCGTGTCACCCCTTATGGAAGTGTCCTCAAACGAGACTGGGGGACCCCTTGCAAAGGTCACGTTACCCATACAGGGAAAACCTGCCACCTTTCTCGTTGACACAGGTGCAGCCAGGAGCATGCTGAGGACCTGCCTGCTGATTCTTTCCTTTCCACTATTGATGTTTCTGCTTGATCCTGACCCTGAAAGAACTCCGCCAGTCCTGACCTCGGCTATTCCTGACCACTCTCCAGCCTGCTCCTTTTTGGTACCTTGTCTGCCTGATTGTTCCTGACCCGGCCCATCTGACTACGCTCTGCCTACTCCTTTGTGTCTTGTCTGCCCGATGATTCCTGACCCGGCCCGCCTGACCACTCCACCTCACCAGCCCTGACTGCTCTTATCTGTGTACATTCCGTTATCAGTTGGAGGTCTGGTTTTGTTATATTGTGCGTTATATTTGTGTATAACCCCATAATAAATTATATTGTTACACCATACTTGAGCCTGCGTTTCCCTGTGTCAGTTCACGCATCTCTGGTCTTACCGGGAGCCCTGACAGGTGTCCTCTACATGTCCCTTAAATCTGTCAGGAGCTGACGTGCTGTCCAGACTGCAGGCCTCAATTATTTTCACGCCTGAAGGAGGAGTGAAACTACACACTCCCCTATCCTTGGAGGACTCCTCTGCCTTGTGCTCCTTACCCCTCATGATGACATTACATGAAGCAATATTCACCGCTCCTGCCTTGGGACTTCCAGATTATGAGAAACCTTTCAAACTGTTTGTGTTTGAAAAGCAAGGCCATGGCACGGGGGTCCTAGCTCAAGTACATGGAGGGCAGACCAGATCCATTGGGTACTATTCTTGCCATTTGGTCCCCGTAGCTAGGGGTGGTCCATGTCTAAGAGCTGTTTTCGCTGCTCAAGCACTGTTGGACAAAACTTCAGACCTCGTTTTAGCACACCCCCTGCTTCTTCTGGCACTGCATGACATTGCTGCCATCCTGAATCAGGTTCTCAGGGATCTCCACGATCCCCGCAGCGATGGTCCCGGCGCAGGCGCAGTACACCGCCCTGTGCAGGGGCGCGGGCACTAGGTCCGGGCCGGCCGCGGCATTCGAGTTTGCGCATGCGCAGTAGAAGCCGCGGCCGCCCGCTGGGCACCAATGGCAGCGCAGGGCGCAGTATTTAAACGGCCCTGAGCTGTCATTCAGTGCCTTCTGGTCTTCCCTGCATTCCTGATTCTGCGAACCTGTGCCGTATAAGTTTTGACCTGGATTGTACCTGACCTTGCTATATTCTCCTGTCCTGACCCTTGCTTTGTCTGACCTCTCTCCTGGATGCCCCCTATTGGATCTGACCTGCTGTTGCTGACCTGGCGTGTGACCCGACTATTCTCTGCCCGCTGCCTTGTACCATACCGTCCTCTCTGTTACCGACCCAGCCTGTCTGACCTTGCTCAACCATCCATCCATCCCTCGCAGTGGGGTCTTCAGACCTCCTCATATCAGACTCTTTCCCGTGGGAGCCCTCGGCGCATACCACTACCACTGACGGACGTACCCAGTAGCCACGACCTGGTCTCGGGGTGCTCCAAGTCCATCCCCACCATCAGGGGCCCTGGTGAACAAGCACTCTGGTACTTAGATTCCGTGCACTGGGGGCGCCTATTCAGTGGAGTGCTAGTGGTACCGCTGGGCGGTCCCTTACAGTACCAGGAGGCCATGACTGAGTCAAGAGGAAGGCCCACCCCGCTTGAGGAAATCTGCAGGCACCTATCTAATTTGACACAGGCCGTATCGGCCCTGCAGGACAGATGTTTACAGATTGAGAATCAGTTCCAGACCTGCACTATATCTGTCCCTGCCCCACAGGCCGCGGTTCCCGCACCCCCGGCCGTAGCGGCCCCTGTACCAGCTTCTGGGGCTTCCGCACCACTTCCTACGGCCGAACCCCGAGTACCCATACCAGAACGCTTCCATGGGGACCGCACACGCTTCAGGTCGTTCCGTGAGTCCTGCCTTCTTTATTTTGAATTACAACCACGGACCTTTGTGACTGAATCCGTGAAGGTTGGGTTCGTCATCTCCCTCCTGCAGGGTGAGCACCAAGACTGGGCTCACCAACTGCGGGGAAAGAATGACCCTCACCTAAGTTCGGTTGACAGTTTTTTTGACGCAATGGCTATCCTATACGATGAACCACAGCGGGCAGCCTCGGCTGAAGCCACTTTGTACACGCTCCGGCAAGGCCGTCGAGCGGCAGAGGAATACGCATCTGAGTTTAGGCGTTGGATGGGGGACACACGCTGGAACGAGTTTGCACTTTTGCATCAGTTCCGTATAGGCCTATCAGAAGCCCTGAAAGATGAACTCGCCCGGGTAGAGGTGCCTGAGACATTAGAGGACCTAATTGCTCTGACCATTAAGATTGACCGTAGACTGCGGGAATGCAGGTTTGAGAGGTCCGGTCAGGGTCATGGAAGTACCTGGGGGTCATTTAAAGGTTCCAGCCAAACAACTAGGCCAAACATCCAGAACCTGCCACCTGGAGATATTCCTGAACCCATGCAGCTTGGCCTGGCACGGCCTAAATTATCTCCAGAGGAACGCCAGCGCAGACGATCCCAGAACCTGTGCCTCTACTGTGGTGAAGCTGGTCACATGGTACGATCCTGCCCGCAGAAACTGAGTAAGTGCACCTCTTCTTCCTTGTCTATTGGCAATGTTAGTCCATCCCAATACTTAGTGGTGCCCCTTTCCTTTCAGCTTCCAGAAAGAACCGCGGAGGTGACGGCCATAGTTGATTCGGGGACATGCAGCTGCTTCTTGGATATTAATTTTGCTCACCAGCAGGGTATCCCCTCCAATTAAAAGAAAAAGGGTTCAACATATTTTTGGCCGATGGTTCCCGGATAAAATCGGGGGTAGTTAACCAGGAAACCCTCTCCATTGCCACTGACATTGCCGGCCAGCACCAGGAACTCCTCCGCCTGGATGCTATTGCATCGCCCCTTTTCCCAGTCATTCTGGGGCTCCCATGGTTACGGGCCCATAACCCCCAAATTGACTGGGAAACCGGGGTAATCTCGTTCCCTTCCCCATACTGTCGGGAACACTGCCGCACTTCGGGCCCGGAGGTCCCCCAGTTCCTCCTGTGCTCTGAAGGGGATGCCAATTTAAAACAGGTAATCCCTGCAGCCTACCATGAGTTTCTAGATGTGTTCAGTAAACGGGGAGCCGATACTCTACCCCCCCACCGCCCATATGACTGTCCCGTTGACCTGTTACCAGGCTCAGAGATTCCTTTTGGGCGAATCTTCCCCCTTTCGGAGCTCGAATTGGGGGCCCTGAAGGAATACATCGAGAACAGCCTCCAGAAGGGGTTCATCCGCCCCTCCATGTCTCCAGCAGGGGTGGGAATTTTCTTTATAAAAAAAAAAGACAAAACCTTGAGGCCGTGTATCGATTACCGGGAATTGAACAGGGTCACAATAAAAAACCGTTACCCACTGCCATTGGTACCGGAGTTATTTCAAAGTTTAAAAGCGGCGGCAGTGGTTTTCACAAAGCTGGATTTGAGGGGAGCATACAACTTGGTTCGCATAAGGGAGGGGGACGAGTGGAAGACGGCATTCCGCACCCGCTTCGGCCACTTTGAATATTTGGTCATGCCTTTCGGGTTGTGCAATGCACCGGCCACCTTTCAACACTTTATGAATGACATCTTTAGGGACTTCCTGGATATCTTTGTTATCGTATATTTAGACGACATTTTGATTTTCTCACCTTCCTTGGGGGAGCACAGAATACATGTAGCAAGGGTATTGGGGCGGTTGCGGCAGCATGGGTTGAACCCCAAGGCAGATAAATGTTGCTTCGAACAATCCAGCATTACTTTTCTGGGCCTGATTATCTCCACCGCGGGGGTCGCGATGGACCCCCAGAAGGTCGCTGCAATTCTGGATTGGCCCGAACCCACGGACAGGAAAGGCGTCCAACGATTTATCGGGTTTGCAAACTTTTACCGGAAGTTCATCAAGAACTTCTCAGGTCTGGTCTCCCCCATTACTCAGCTAACCAAGCTTGGAACTCGGTTCAGATGGACACCAGAGGCTCAGGAAGCTTTTGAAACTTTGAAGAAGCTGTTCACCTCGGCACCCATTTTGGGTCACCCAGACGCCGCCCTACCCTACATCTTAGAGGTAGATGCATCGGAGAATGCAGTAGGTTCCATTCTTTCCCAGCGGAAGGGCACCAAGGAATTGCTCCATCCTGTAGCATTTTTCTCACGGAAGCTTACCCCCGCGGAGAAAAACTACGATATTGGTGATCGAGAACTACTGGCAATCAAAACGGCGTTAGAGGAATGGAGGTACCTGCTGGAAGGTGCCGTGCAACCCATCTTGATATTTACAGATCACAAAAATCTGGAATACCTGAGGACCGCCAAGCGTTTACGCCCACGACAGGCGAGATGGACATTATTCTTTTCAAGATTTAATTTCCACATCACGTACAGGCCTGGATCAAAAAATACAAAGCCAGATGCGTTATCACGCATGTACGAGGACGCCAAGGAGATCCCAGTGCCCGACACTATCCTGTCCTCGGGGTAACTTCTTGGCACTTCAGTTGGACCTTCGTTCCAAGATAATGGAGGCGTCCACAACCGTATCAACCCCAGTTGGGGTGCCCCTCCAGAACAAGGGGGGACTCCTATGGAAGGAAGATCGGATTGCCAGAGGAAGCCCGAACCCTGGTCTTGGGACATTGCCATGACCACCCGATGGCAGGGTACTTTGGCCCAGAAAAGACCCTAGAGCTTCTCCGACGCTCCTTCTGGTGGCTGGACATGGCTAAAGATTGTAAGGGCTATGTAAGATCCTGTATCACCTGCCAGAAGAACAAACCATCAAGGAACAAAGTTTGGGGTCTGCTCCGGCCTTTACCGATTCCTGAATGACCTTGGCAAAGAATCTCGCTAGATTTTATAGTCGAGCTTCCACGATCACTAGACCACACGGCAATCCTTGTGGTCGTGGACCGTTTATCCAAAATGGCCCACTTCATTCCATTGAAGAAAACTCCCTTGGCAGCCGAGACTGCGCGAGTGTTAATTCGTGAGGTTGTAAGACTGCATGGGGTCCCCGAAGACATTGTCTCGGACCGAGGGGTCCAGTTTACGTCAAGATTTTGGAGGGCATTATGCAAAGCCCTGGACATCAAATTGTCCCTTTCCTCTGCGTTCCACCCTCAGACTAACGGACAGACCGAAAGGACCAATCAGACCCTGGAGCAATACTTGTGATGCTACACATCTTTTGCTCAAGATGACTGGATGCCACTTCTACCCCTGGCGGAATTCGCGTACAACAACGCTTGCCATTCAGCAACGGGGCAGTCCCCGTTCTTTTCCAATTATGGGTTTCACCCTGTCTTCCTCCCGGATTTGGTCTCGGAATGCCCAGTTCCAGCAACACAAGATGTAGTAACGTTTTTTTCCGCAAACAACAAAAAACTTCAAGAGGCCATCAGTCGGGCCCAAGAGGACTACAAGAAGGCATTCAACAGGAAACGGAGAGGAGATCTGGTGTTGCGGCCCGGGGAGAAGGTTTGGTTAGCGACATCCAATTTAAAGATGCTTTGCCCTTCAAAGAAATTGGGACCTAAATTTATAGGCCCCTTTTGCATTAAGCAGATGGTCAACGAGGTGGCTTATGAACTTGTCCTCCCTGACACACTCAAGATCTACCCAGTCTTCCATGTGTCCCTGCTGAAACCAGTGATCCCAGATGCCTTCCCTGAACGAGAATCTAGACCTCCGGAGGCCATAACGGTCGAAGGAGAAGAGAATTTGAGGTAGAAACAATCCTGAAGTGCCGAAGGAGGGGGGGCCAGACCCAATTCCTAATCAAATGGAAGGGCTATGGCCCTGAGGACAATTCTTGGGAACCAGCCCATAATGTCCATGCACCCAGACTTGTCCGGAGGTTTTTTCGTGATCACCGTGGTGGAGAGATCGGGTGGGCATCCGGAGGTTGCCCGTAGGGGGGGGCAATGTCAGGGATCTCCACGATCCCCGCAGCGATGGTCCCGGTGCAGGCGCAGTGCGCTGCCCTGTGCAGGGACGCGGGCACTAGGTCCGGGCCCTGAATGTTAGTTTAGAGGAGATACAAGACAATGTGGAGGAAACTACAGTTGGAAAACTTATTTTTTATCTCACACTTATTGTCACCCATGAATTTCGTTCTTCAATACAAAAATTGCCGGTCTCTTTGGGAAACAATACCTATATCTGTTGTGGTAAGATCTGTTACCCTTGGGTACCGAGTAATGTCCAGGGCTGGTGCTATGTAGCCCAATTAGTGCCAGTTATGGCAGCCATAGACCAAAAGGAACACCAAGTAAAAGCCAGTATATACCCAAAACACCATGAGACAGAAAAGGGAAACCAAACAAGAAAAGGTAGATTTATTC